CTTTCCGAGTTTAGCAACATCGGAGATCAGCAACGCCGTGATCCTCACCTCAGAGATATAATCCTTCGGCTTAGTGGTCCCACAACTCCTCCTTCTCTCCGTATGTTCCTGCTCCAAGATGGCGTTTTATATCGCTACAGCATGCATCCTGACGGACCTGAGCTGCTGTTGGTCATACCACAACATATGCGTCAGGCTGTCCTTGCACAGTTGCATGATATTCCGACAGCTGGTCACCTGGGAGTTTCAAGAACTTATGACCGCATTCGACGTCGCTTCTTTTGGCCCGGTATTTACCGATCCGTCTGCCGTTACGTCGCCTCATGCAAATCCTGTCAACACCGCAAAAAACCAGCAACCCTTAAAGCGGGACGCCTTCAACCCATTCAGATCCCATCCGAACCATTTTATAGGGTAGGTGTTGACTTACTAGGACCGTTTCCTTTATCGGCGAGCGGAAACAAGTGGATAGCAGTCGCCACGGATTACATCACTCGGTATGCAATCACACGGGCCCTTCCTACCAGTTGTGCGACCGACGTCGCTGACTTTCTTCTAGAAGACGTCATATTACACCACGGCGCTCCTCGGCAACTGCTCACCGATCGGGGTCGCTACTTTTTATCACAAGTTATCCAAGACATATTGCACTCTTGCGCTACAAAGCACAAGTTCACAACAGCGTATCATCCTCAAACCAACGGGCTCACGGAGCGGCTAAATAGAACCATCACGGACATGCTCGCCATGTATGTTTCTTCCGACCATCGTGACTGGGACTTCGCCCTTCCATTTGTAACTTTTGCCTATAATACGTCTCGGCATGACACTGCAGGTTTCTCGCCATTTTTCCTCCTGTACGGACGAGAACCTACGTTGCCTTTCGACACGCTCCTTCCTGCCGTTGGCCACACGTCTGAATATGCCCGCGATGTGATTTCTAGAGCTCTAGAGGCACGTGAGATTGCTCGCCGGCGTCTGAGCGATTCGCAGGAACGACAACGACAGGTCTACAACGCGTGCCATAGTGATGTCCACTTCAGTCAAGGTGACACAGTCCTTCTCTGGACGCCGTCGCGGCGAGTTGGCCTGTGCGAAAAGCTGACTTCACCGTACTCGGGTCCGTACCGTGTGGTGCGCCAAGTCACCGACGTGACATATGAAATTGAACCTCTTAACGCCACCAGCGCGCGATCGTGTTCTGACATTGTTCACGTCACTCGGCTGAAACGATTTTACTCAGACCAACCAAGCACCGAGACGGTGCCTTCGCCGCCGGGGGTGATGCTATGGGGCGCCACAAATGAACATTCTAGAAAAGAGGACGATGTTTAGGGTGAGCTCGTGCAGACCGGGCTCCATATTGTATGCCTGCCTGTTTACCGAAAGTAAAGGCATTTTTCAGACGCCTTCTCCCCGTAACAATATGACCAGTTCTGTTGCACAGAGCGATTGTGAAATGTCGACTCGTAGGACCGATAGAATTCATGCAGTTCGTCATTTACGGCCGAGTAGTTACCTTTATTGTAGAGGCGAATTTTTTTTGCTGGTGAATGGTGAAAAGGTGGTTTGAGAGAAAATGTGGCATGAATTACTTTATGATCTCTTATTTCTTTAAGGTAACTAATTGATGACATGAATTCGGGATGTTTTTTGCTGGCGAATGGTGAAAAGGTGGTTTGAGGGAAAATGTGGCATGAATTATTTATGATCACTTATTTCTTTAAGGTAACTAATTGATGACATGAATTCGGGATGCGATGTCAGAATAAGGTCAAGCGTGTTGGCACATCTACCGTGACACAAGTTGGTTCTTTTATCAGTTGGGTCAGATTATGGTTAAGGCAGAAGTGTAGAAATTCAGCAGCCTCCGAGTTACCTGTAGCTAATTGCATAGAAGACCAATCAATACTGAGGTAATTAAAGTCACCGAAGAGCAAAATGCATGCATTAGGGTGCCGTTTGGCTAAATCACTCAAAATATTGTTAAGTTTGCTGGGAAACCCGGTATGATCAGTAGGGGGCCTGTAGCACATGCCAAGAATAATAGATGAAAGTTCGGTACGCAGATTAGCCACAGAATTTCGAGGTCACTTAATATATTGAGAGGGCAATAGGATAATTCAGTATGAACGGCGATTAATACCCCACCCCCTCTGCCACCTTGCCTGTATTTTCGAAAAATATCAAAGTTGGGAAAGTTGTTCGAAATTTCAGCATCAGTGATTTCACTGGAAAGCCATGTTTCGGTTAGTACAACTACATTACTATCGGATGATGACACCAGATTCGACACTACTTCGCCCCGTCGCGGTGGTCTAGTGGCTAAGGTACTCGGATGCTGACCCGCAGGTCGCGGGTTCAAATTCCGGCTGCGGTGGCTGCATTTCCGATAGAGGCGGAAATGTCGTAGGCCCGTGTGCTCAGATGTGGGTGCACGTTAAAGAACCCCAGGTGGTCAAAATTTCCGGAGCCCTCCACTACGGCGTCTCTCATAATCATATGGTGGTTTTGGGACGTTAAATCTGACAAATCAATCAATCAATCAATCGACACTACTTCACGTTTTGGAAGGAAGCTGCGAATGTTAGTGAAGATAACCGAGAGGGAAACGGTGGCACGGGGCATGCGAGTAAGGTGGCTGCGCGGTTGATGGGCGTGACGAGATAGCTATAGTTGTTCTTGCACACTTTGTGAAGCTTCATCAAAGAAGAAGCGTCATGGGCCAATGTGTAGCGTTTTAAATCGAAGTGAGTAAGGCACGGACTTGTTTTTTGCAGAGACGACAAGGTGTTTACGTGCGTTTTGTACCCCTTGAGAAAAGTTTTCCCCATTGCTGTATGTGGTACCTTTCAACTTACGAGCGTTAGTAAGGATTGCTTCTTTCGTCTTAAAGGCACAAAATCTGACAATGATGGGACGATTACGGCCAGAGGTATGGCGACCCAAGCGATGCGCTCTCTCTATTTCTTTTGTGTCGACTGTTAAATTCAGTTGTTCGGAGCAAAATTGAATGGTTGCTTCTCCAGGGTGTGCACGCGATTCAGATGAAGAATCGGGGGTACCATAAAAAATCAGGTTGTTGCGGCTGGACCGATTTTCGGCATCATCAAAACGGCTTTGTAAATGAGAAACATGATACACAGTTTCGGTGTTGTCAGTCTGTACGGTTCCAAGGTGCTGCCGCAAGTACTCGATGTGTTCACAACTCGCTTCCACAGAAGCCACACGCTTAGCGAGCTCGGCGAAAGTGTTATTCGTGGTAACAAGTTGTGCCTTAATGTCTTAATTTTCGTAATGACAGTGCTTGACCCGCAGTTAGCTTACGCAGCTCGGCGAGAATCGTCGCATTATCGGGTCCTGGGTTCGACTCGATATCACCCGCGACTAGTAGCAAGGAACGCACGACAGCTCCACACTCACAACAAGTAGCAAACAGGCGCTGCGGGCTCGGCAGTTGTAGTAAGAGGTAATTGCTCGACTTTTTTGCGTATAGGCTGTATGAAGGACCAACCTGCATGGTGAAGTGCAGAGGATTAGTGGTCACTCTCGCAGAAAAGCTGCCAAGTCCACAAGGCAATGACAACGGGGGCGGTGGCTTTATAGCTTTGGGAACGATTGATGTCGTTGACGATGGGGCCTTCCAAGCTGTGCCCAGGACCAAGTGCTGAGATAGTGGCATGGCTTGCCTCGTTGAATCCCGAGTACTGTCCAGCCAAGTCCCGCATGTTGAAATCTGAGCAGGTCCACGGGATGGTAGCGCGCGCACTAGTGATGCGCACGTTGATGATCCAGACAGTGCAAGAAAGAGCATCAGAGCGAAGGCATGAAGAATAACCTGGATGGTGAAGTGCAGAGGATTAGTGGTCACTCTCACAGAACAGCTGCCGAGCCCACCTCGGCAGCTGCTTTGTTACTCTCTTAGTTTAACACCACTTTGTTACTCTCTTAGTTTTAAAAAAACTCCCCAAAAGGGTCATAAAAAAGTGTGTATTCTAAAAACTGTACTTTATACAATAAAAATATTCGCATATATGAAATCTCAAGTCGGCATACACACATACATAAACTCGCCAAGTTTCATCAAAATTGATAAAGAAATAAAAAATTTTTTCAAGTGCTGCTTAACTAGAGCTCTGTATTTTCAGATTATTCTCAAAAAAACTTGAATAAACGTCTGCCGGTAAGATCTTGCCTTGCCTGCGTGACTTTCAAAGGGAGTTTTGAAAGCTGATAATTGTCAATCGAAAGGAGCGCACCTTCATCAGTGGCAGTAACCTCATGCTTGCATCTTATTTCGAGTAGCGTATGAAGCTTGCCCGTAGCATGACAGCGCAGTTTCATGACAATAAGAAGTATTAAATGACTAGTCTCACTTACTTGGGCTTTCGTTGGATGAGATAGGGATTCACTTTGAATGCTATAACGAGTCTTCGTTGCTTGTTTGCTTGTAAGAGAACACACATGCATAACTTCAGCATGCATGTGTGCAGTCATCCGTGGCAAGAAGAAAAAAATATTTTTTAAAGTCCTTTACCCACTTGACACATTCTTGTGAGTGTTTGCTTTGTAGTGCACTGCCTCTCACTAGTTGTCCCAGCTAGTGGGACTTTAGTGAAACGCAAGCACCTAACATGTCTTGTAGTGCTCACAGAGATAATTTTTCTGCTGCTGCCTGACAGTGTGCTACTGCCAGTGCTATGTATCGGGCACAGCATAGTGGTAGGAGGCTGCTACTTTTGGTGGCTTCTGCAAAGTCTGTTTTCCTTTATCCTCTCGTGTGACTTGAATTAGTATTTGCATGTAGCTTGTTTGCATGAGGCTGGTCTCTTTGCATGCACACTGCCTGCATGAATGCTCTGATAACAGAAGAGGCGCAGTCAGCCCAGACCCTGTTTTGTGTGGCCCAGCCATCAAAACATCGCTCTGGCAACCATTGTTAAGACGTGTGTCACTGAATTGCCACACCTCGCGTGTGTGTGTGTGTGTGTCGTGAACAGAGCCCGTCATTGGACCATACCCTCCTCCGGACAATTCTGACCTCGACGAATACGAAGGTAGGAAGACACATGCCCCATTACCTGTATAGTAGCATGTGGTGATAGCTTATCCAAGAACTTTTCTTTTTGTTTTGTTTTGGTAATGCTATTGCTTTGCAGCACCTCTTTGGCATTCATTTTTCTTTATTTCTTTTGACGGATGTCATAAAAGCTGCATCCAGTTGCATTGAATATAAGCCCTGTACCCCTCCATAGAATGTTCAATGCCAACATCCTTGGCAATTAGCTTTTTCAGGTTGTGAGCACCATTGGGAAGCTGGTGTCTACTGCATGCAGCAGGCAAAAATAGCAGCAGCAGAAATCTTGCTTTTACTTTCTTGGTCAAACAAGCCTTAAGTGTGTGAAGTTGAAGAAAGAAAAACTCATTTCTGCCTCTATTTTTCTGCTTATAAAGTGTGCTTGAGCCAGAGGAGAATGTGTCTGCATAGTAGGTCTAGCGTTCTTCTTCATGACATTCTTACACACAGAGAAAGCCTTCGGGCAAATATTTCAGGTCACATGTTGCTGGAGGAAGAAATTTCGAGCTATCCATAGATGGCACCCCTTATGGAGCATTGGAGGGAGTAACAAGCTACCATTGAAGTTCTGACTTGGTATATTTTGTTAATAGCTATTGTTTGATCTTGGGGATTACTGTCTCCAGTAGCACGATTACAGTGTACATTAGCTGTACATTGACAGATGCAGCAGTGTAAGGGATATTGAACAAGCTTCGACTGCCCATTCCAGCGTGATTGTCTGTTGCATGCAGCGCGAGGCAAACCATACTGGAGCATATTTAAAAGGCGACTGAGGAAAATGACAGTGGCTGCCGTATGAGGAACTGAATAGAGCATGGATAGCGAGACAGGAGAGTAGTGGGGTGCTGCACGAGATGTACTTCACAGCGGTGGTCTGTTACGAGGTGGTGCCATGCTAACATGTGCTGTCACTTGGTACCTACGACATTATTACTGAGGCATGGGACCGGTGCGTTTACTGATGCCATACGTGGAAACAAAGCACTGCGTGTCTGCCAGAGCATTGCACTGAAACCATGGGCTTTAGACCCACATTGCATGCACTGTTTTGCCTACACCACTGCGACTAGACAGTATGCTACAGCCACATGTCATGCTTTCTTTCGTTAGCACTGAGCGAGGCAACAGGCATATTGTTTTGTCTGCTGTTGCATCTAAGGGAATCGTTGGTGTGTCTATTTGTTTAAGGCAAAACTTATAGGTATATACCAGATCTTGCCTTGAAATCGTCCTCATATTAGCCAATACTCTCAAGTAACATGCCGTGGCAATGAAGAAGAGCCACAGGGCTGGAACTTGTGCATTATGAGGTAGCATCAAGCTGTGTGGCTGCCTTTTGTTGCAATTTTCATTTGTTACAAGAGAATACTGTACAAGCACAGCTCTTCATGCAATGGTTTCATGTTTGCGTAAGTAGGAACGGCGAAAGTAGAAAACAGTCACATTCAATCCTTAGTGGAGCTCTTTGTCTTGTTTTGTTATTTCACTGTAGTGAATTGTCCGAAATTTTTTTTTTTTGACATCAACAAGGAAAATGAGGAGCTTTTTTCAAGGACGCTACTACTTGCGTGCGCCTTGCGTTTGTACTTTCCTTTCATTTATACGAAAAATTTTCTGTGGGCATGCGGTAGAAATTTGTTCAGTGAGACTGGTTGTCTCCGCCACAGTCTTGATTGCATAGAAAGACTGCTTTCTGCTAATTGACAAATTTGGGAGTGCCCGTTGCTAGCAGCAGTTGCAGGTTGTGTTCTAATACTGCAAGCAGTGTTGTGCAAAATGCCTTTTCAGGGCACACTTTCTTGAAGCACATGGGGCACTACCGCACTGCTGGTAGTGGGCATAGGACATGCTGCAATTTTGTGCGGAATACATTTATATCAAGAACTCTTTTAAAGTGCACTCTTTTAAAAGCGGCATGAGCTTGAAATGTTCACTTCATTTTGAATTGCATTGCTCATTGGTACTTGACCATCATTGAGTGCAAAGCATTTGGACGAAAGGACATAGGCCATTGGGCGCTAGCACTTGTCTTTTTGTCCTTTTGTCCAAGCATTTTGCATTAAGGGTGGTCAAGTATGCAGTGCCATCCAACTCAAACTGATTTGTTAAGTTAATGCTCACTGATAGTTGCCACCTGTACTTAATCCATTTAACATGTTCACTGCATTGCAGCAGTAATTATTTTTAAAAATATGTAGTTATAAAAAGGAGAAAGCACACAAGTGATATATGAGTAACTTGTTCAGGGCAGCAGATACACAAAAAGTGTGTTTCGCGTCTTCATTTCACATCTGTTGCCAGCCACAAATCTCATCTTTGATATCAGTATAAGGGAACCTCTTGAAAAGTGGTAGGGTAAAACAAAAGAAAAAGAAAAATTTATTATTTGCTTGTTTGGAATGACAAGGCCTTCCTTAACAATGTCAAGTGCTTCCCACATTTTTGTACCTTTTGATTGAGCCAAAAAAACAGTTTTCGAGACCAGCTGATGAGAAGCCCTTTTCTCAGATGTGCACAACATAAGCTTTTTGCCTCAAGTAAACGTTGTTAAAATCAAAACTGGTAGTTTCTCTGAACTTAGTAGGTTACTTGAAAAATTTTCAAGCTACTTAAAGGTACATGGTCATAGCATTTACAGAGTCCACTTGCCTTGTGTGTGTGAGGCCCGCATGGGGACAAGCTTGTGTTCATTTAATTTGCGTTTAGTTACGCCTTTGTTGATTTTGTTGCAGTGGCAAAAAATGTTCTCATGTTGATAAATCAGAGAATTTCTTATAAAGCACAGTATAATTATGCACACTTTGGCTACTAACAGAAATGAGCACCCATGCAAGCACTTATGCAAGTAAGCTTTGTCCTCATGTCACGTTGACACAAGAATGAAATTTTACCTATAGGGACAATGGCTATGCTTTGGTTTGTGTGGATCTTCTATAAATCTTCACTGTGAGTAACTACAGACTGTGAAGGAACCATGGCACTTATAGAAAACACAATCGATCATGTTACTTGGAACGAAAACCCTCAGAACCTTTGAAACTGTTCTAACTTTCAAAAAGGCACGCATGGCCTGACTAAATGTTCTCAACACCATTTGGCATATCACCGAGGCACAGAACTGCAAAATGGTTTGGCAAAATCAACTACCATCGGCAGTATTTGGCCAGTAGAGACACAGAAGATAAGATAAAACAAGCCATGAAAACAAGTAAAAAGCTGGTTAGTTGTGGTGACAATATGGCACGTTGCTATTAATTGAATTGTTCAGCTCATCTTCACTTCGAGCAAAACATGAAATAAACTTGTTTTTCCTGTTTAGCTCGCAATAGCTCAATCTCTGTTTGTTACATTGCCTCATCCAAAAAAACTTGAAAAAACACAAAGGTGACTTTTAACCATGATAAATCAAACAATAATACGAAACTACTGGACTAGAATGGTGTACATACACGGAATCGTTTTCAGCTTTTTAGCAGTTTTCTTTAAAAAAATGCTAATAAGGACTCTCTGCTTTGCTAAAAAAATTGCGAAAATTCCAATACCTAAATAAAGTAGTTATTCTACAGGTTTTCCCGCTCAATTTAATCCAAGCGCCAGCCAAATTAATCTAGGCGTCTGTCAATTTAATCCAGGTGCCATTCATTTTAATTCAAGTGCCACTGAAATTAATCTAACCGCCAGCCGATTTAATCCAGACGCCAGCGAATTTAATCCTGATGACATCGGGACTTCAAAGCGACTCAGAATTTTCAGGAACGCGTGTAGTGAATAGCTTTAGAGTGAATTTAAGAGGAAAAACAATGAATGAGTCACTAGTGACAATGTGGCTCGCGCGACTGCATCTCGCCTATCACCCGCGCAAGAACTATTCACACCTTCGACATGCATATTAAAGGAAATGCTGTCAACACAGTAACAACTCGATACCTATTGCCCAGGCCAATGATCTGATCACTAGTGACTCAGGCGACGGCATCACGCATATCACCCATGCACGCGCTGTCTTAACCTTCCATCATGCATCTCAAGCGAAACGTCATTGAAAGAGCAGTAGTTTGATACCTAAAATTGGCCAAGCGACTTGATCACTAGTGACTCAGGTGACGTCATCACGCCTATCACCGACGCACGCAACGTTTCACCTGCTTCATGCATATCAAATGAAACGTATTAGAAAGATTAATAACTTGAACGCTGTCATTCGGCCTAGTGACGTGATCACTATAGGGACTCGCATGATGTCATCACGCCTAATACTCACTCAAGCGCTCTCTAATGTGCCTTCATGCATATCAAACAAAACGTCTTTGAGAGGGTAATAACGTGAACGCTGTCACTCGGCCTAGTGACCTGATCAATAGTGACTCGCGTGACGTCATCGCGCCTAACACCGACGCATGTGCACTCTAACCTGCCTTCATGCATATCAAACGAAACGTTTCTGAGAGAATAATAACTGCTGTCACTCGACCTAGTAACGTGATCACCAGTGACTCGCGCTGCACAGCCGTTCACCGGCCTACCGGTATATGTAGGCACCGGATCACGCATTTCGAATTCAGTCAAGGTTGTCTTTACATGGCTTTTGCTTGACTTGACGTTTTTCTTGACTCGAGTAGATGCGATGGAAGCAACAGTACCTTCATGCAGTAGTGAGGTACAACCCACCATCAGCGTCCCACGACTCGTTGAGGGCTTCTCCTTTATTCAATAAATAAGAATAATAAAGGCAAAATGACAATTAAGCGTTTCTAAACCATACTCAATTACCCAACATTGAACCGATACCCTCACCACTCTGCGATGCATTTACTCCAGCTCGTCGTGGGGGAAGATGTGGGCGGCTTTTTTGTTGCTTCTGATGTTTCGAAGTATGCCTTGGAAATGCGGGCAGCCAGGCCGCGCTATGGGGAACACACAGGTGTGCTAGACTAAACAGGCACGATTATTCCGAGCACACTAAACTATAATAAACAG